ACAAATGATGGCGACAATCCTCTCTAACTCGAACACAGATGGCTTTCCTGGGTTAAGAATGGAATATGGAAAATCGTCCACTTATGGAGCGAGGAGAGGAAGGAGTGGAGGACTGAACAGGAACTAAGCATACAACTGAAAGGGTGTCATAGACGAGGTCCCAACCTCCAGTACATCATTAGTATCCTCCCACAAGAATGGAAAGATATCTTGGTCGAAGCAGCGCCATGGAGGCCCGGAGAGTGGGGACTCAAGGTGCAAGAAAAGAACCCCTCTGGAGCTTTTCAATTTTCTCACATGCTGCAGGGCTTGACCACCAAGGCATTCTTCCTTTCCTCTCCGATCTCTACGTCCGCTCTTAGTATGCCTTCCATACTCAATAGTGAGGTGGAATCGGAAGCTATGGACTTCTTCCTACTTAGAAAAGTAAGAGTCTTGGCTCAGGGCCAAAGTTAATCTTTAGACCTGATACGGCTGTTCAAAACTTAGAATTTGACCCGGCGGAGTGGGTTTGGACGCCGGAGAAGACCAAGAACATCAGGTCCAATGTCCCAGTTCACGAATACACAGTGAAATTGGGGTATAGACTTTTCTTGAAAACCAAAGATCCCGACCCCATCATTAAAAAAAGATGGCAGAAGTTACTCGGCCAAGAGGCTGATAAGCTCACACAGATCCCTTGGAAGAAGTTCAAATCTATTAGACCAATCAAAATTAAGAGCCTCCAATGGCTCATTACTTATGCAGCCCTTCCAGTGAATCAATGGTTACACATCAGGCGACAAGGTTCAGACCCCAACAATTCGGATTTATGCACAGTGTCTGCACAGAGGGGGCCATAGAGGACATAATACACTGCCTAGTACACTGCAGGGAGGCGACGGACTACTGGGCGAGGGCTTCGGCCCTCCGGGACTCCCTATTCCCGAGCCCCTTCCCTAAACAACCCATCCAACTTCTTCTTTTGACTAACATTCCCGAACAGCTCCAGAAGACAGAAAGGATGTGGTTTGGGCTCAGAAAGGTGACCTTGTGGGAAGTTGTGGGTTATCTGGAAGGAAAGATGCAGCAGAACCATCGAAGGACTTTCCAACTCACGAGAGAAGGTATGGGCTGAGACGAAAATGATGATACAAGCCGAAATTCTCTGCAGATGGCAGAAAGCCAAACAATCATGGCCGGAGGACGAAGACCAACAAAAGAAGGTGAGAACGAGATTCGGCAGGCTCTGGTTAGTAAGCGGAAAAGTGGCGGAGATATGAGAAGACCGCATTCGCTGGAAGGACTGGCATAACTCGACTTCAGACAAGAGGGGGCAATGTTCTATAATAGTGGGTGGTCAGAATTCCTCGCGACCAGAACTCTATGAGGAAGAGGGAAGAACTTAGGGTCTAAGGGCCAGTCAGTCCCTAACAGGCTATGGCTGCTGGAGGGGAAGGGTGCGGAGATTCGGCAGGAAGCGGAAAAGATTGGTTCAAGTTCAGAGACGGGTGACCGAGCACCAAGAGTCAGGGAGGCAGCGGAGTCAGAGACAGACAGGGGAACACGTATGGGGGCAGCATAGCTAGGACACGAACTCAAGAGGGATTGGGGGCTCAGGGTATGATACCATCTCTGCGTTCAGAGCCAATGACTGGGGGTTCGGAAAGGAAGGACAAGATTGGAGGACAGATGGAACCGGTGGAGCGGCCAGCTAGGGCACTGCAAAGAGAGGGTTTAGGATTTAGGGTTTAGGACGATACTTCCGTATGAAAAAGAATCCTTGAAGTATGCGCCTCAATGGTAAGCATAGCCCTTTTGCAGGCAGATAGGTTGTATGGACCTGAGAATGCTGGAGTAAGGTTACAACGGAAGACAGTTACGCTCCACTTAAAGGAAACAGGCAAGGTGTCAGCAAGGTTTAATGGCTTCCTGATGAGGGCTTAGGGGTTAGGGTTCTAGTGTTTTTAATCAAGGGGAAGGAAAAAGTGGGGCAGAGATCACTGTGGCCCATGGACAAGAAGGGCAACTGAGGACATAGAGGCTAGCTTGGTCAAGGGTTGAGCTCCTTCTAGGGGATGGAACTATCTGGCAGATCTGGTTACTAGGTCTGAGAGGGAAGAGCGAGACGTGGCAAGCTGGCAGTCAATCCTCCACCAAGGTGGAGCAATCAATGCTGCTCAGGGGTCCTTCGGCCAGACGGAAGGAAGCGTGCGTGATTCTTATTGTAATAATTTTCTGGCTTGCCGGTGGAATAGGAACCGGACTGATGCTCCCCAGAATGAAGGAGCCAGGACCATAAGGCCCTGTTTTAAAAAAAAAATGAAAAAGAAAAAGAAAAAAAAGGGTCAGAATACTGGCAAGCTGTTTGTGAAGCGTCCCTGCAGTGTACAGATAAGTGTTATGTGCAACAAAATTAAGATGTTGAAGGAGCTGAGAAACAGAAAGGTGCCCGTTGGGCACAACAAGGTCCTCAAATCACCATGTTCAAGGCTTGCAGTATGAACGCTCCCAAGTATGCCCAAGGGCATAAGCATGGGCTTCATCAACAACTTTTGCCACATTATTCAGAATGCGGTCATGAGGCAGGTTGATGTACATTGTGGTAAAATCAACAGTGCGAGGAGAGAGGCCACCAAGGGGGAATGAATTGTTTTCTCGGTCAAGTGCCACTTCATGGGCAGTCTGACCGATCCTCAATACTGTCGAACACCAACCTGTTCATAGAGGTGTGTCTTTCTCATGAAGAGTAGAGATCACGCCTTGCGAAGTTGTGCTGAGATACGAAGAAGTAATCGTTGTGCTGGCCAATGGTTTGTCAGGAGGCCGTTCATGAATGGCATGAACTGGTGGACAAGGGCGAGGATGTGGGGTAACAGGAGTAATGTTTTGTGTTGTGACTTAGAGAATGCTCCGAAGAGCTGGAGGACATTATAAACTTTGAGAACATAGTAGAGGTAAGGCAGTGAATCATTATGGGTGCAATCCCGGTGGTGACTCCTTGTTGCATTGTTATGTGCCTGATTGAAACGAAATACAGCATGGCATCCACATGTTCCCATACACATGCGCAATGACAAGAGATCTTGGAGAGAGCAATTCACACCAGATGAGGAGAATACACAGAGGAAGCTCACAAAACCAAAAATAGAAGTGAAATTACTCAATTCTCATTAATATCCCGCTACCTCCAGCCAATCAATGCACTGTTATTTCCAAGAATCCCAACCACGTTATTAACATCCACGAACCAACTAAGAAGAGAGTCTCAACAAGTAAGGGAGACTTCTTCTTCTTCCCAACCTCAAGCTCACAGCTATGGTGCAGGCCTGTGCCCAACCTATCAAGCCCATCAAGCCCATCAAGCGCCACCAACCCTCCTGAACCCGACACGCCGCTCAGCAGTCCAAACTCGATGCCCACTGCAGATGAGGTGTCCGCTCAACAGGGCAGGGTAGCTCCCAGGACGAAGAAGAAGAACACCAGCGCTTGATGAAGAAGGAGATGGCTGCCACTTCGACAAACACTTGGAAGAAGGGTTTCGATGTCGACCATGCCTATCCCCAACAGCACAGGTAAAAGGAGGCGCCTCACAGCGCTCAGGGCCTGATGCCCAGCGCAGTCACAAGCCAGGAAGACCCAGCTATGGAGGACAGGCCTAGAAGCATGAAGATGATGCCGCAAGTGAAATAGCGCAGCACCCAACAGCAGGCGACCTCCAGGAGCACTTCATGGAAAAAAAATGACGAGACAGAACCCCAAATTCGTCGGCCTCTGCCTACTTCTACCCGACTTCCGTAGACCTACAACACAGCAACCACCTACAGACCTATCTGGCCGTCCAAACAGCAAACATCTACCGCCAAACAGTCAAGATCTACGTACCATCTAGATGGAAACCTAGACTAAGGGAACCCAAGGCTAGGACACACAAAAGAAAGATCTAAGGGCCTATCAGTTTCCAGAAGGGCAGAAAAGGACAAAACAACAAGGCTGAAAGGCCTAAGACTACGAAGTAGAGACTACTAGCGACACGTTCAAGGTTCAAACCCAATAAACCTCAAAAACAGTACAAACACCACAAACACACTACAGGTCACGGGATCAAGTCCCGCAAGGATCAAAACAAGAAAACAAACTACAAACCCGAACACTTAGTGTACAGCCAGCATACAACGGCAATTCATTGCAGCATGGCTGCCAAGGACATCAGGAACAGGTTCAAGAGGGTGGGTGTAAGTGGGGCTGTCCAAATGGACAGAGAGATGAAGCAGATACCAATTCTAGAAGATTGTCAAATTGTGCAATGTTTTCTCCACAGGGACAATGGGATAGTGCTGTTGGAGATTGTGCAAGGAGGCATGTGTAGAACGAAGTGAACACGGCTGGCCCACAAGACCGGGGGTCGAAGATGCATTGGATTGACTAGAAGAAGTAGATCAAGATTGTCTAGCGAACGACTTTTTTGAATTTGTTAATATACTCATCGAGTCCAACTGTCAGCGCTTGGAGCATGTCATCAGTTTCCCTATTCAAGGGATACTGTGTGTGTGTGTGTGTGTGTGTGTGTGTGTGTGTGTGTGTGTGTGTGTGTGTGTGTGTGTGTGTGTGTG